AGGGCCGGGAGCACCCCAGAAATGCAGAGCTGGCCCCCACCCCGACTTCTAGCTTCAGCCAAGCCAATAAAGAGTGCTGGGCGCAAGTCCGTCTGAGGGTGAGGTGCTGGGGGTGGCCTCGTTTGGGGGCCCGGGAGAGGGGGCACTGAGCAGAGAGCGCTGGGCTGGGGCGCCTGCAGGAGCGGGCAGCGCCCCTGAATCAGGCACCCCCACCCGGGGCCTCTCTTCCCTTGTAACCCAAAGGGGCGGGAGAGTGGCCGCCTTGCGGGGGTGCTGTGGGGCTGAGCTGGGGGGTGCTGGCCTGCAGAGCTTCGGACGAGGGGCTCTTCCAGGGCTGGGGTGCCAGGGCAGTGTGGGGGCGGCTCAGTGGCTTCGTTTTCATGAAGGTAACAGCCACTCGCTGCCTCCTGGACCGGCGATTCTGAAGCAGTGTGCAGACAGCATGACCCTTAGGGGCCGCCTGCAGTCCCACAAGTCCTTCCTCCGGGGTGCAGGGCCCCCAGGAGATGCCGGCCAGGGCGGGCCCTCCCGGGCAGAGTGCCAGGTTCCCCGCCCAGACCTTCGGCCCTCTTCAGGCCCCTTCACCCGGCTAGGCAGGAGCCAGGGAGTCCCGCATCGAGGGAGGCGGGAGAGGTTGTGACCAGCTGACCGGCGTGGGGGTGGGGGCAGAGCCACCTGCTGGCCAGAATGCCCGGTGCGGCTGGCCCGGGACACAAGGTCCCCAAGGCTCAGAGCAGCCAGGGACCGCGGGCCTTGTGGCTAAAGCCCCTTCCGGGCTGTGCCGGCCCAGCCTCCCTCCAGCAGCGACCTGACCCGGCACCAGCCATGGGCCCCATGACCTTGCCAGCCCTCCCTGCCAGCCAGCCCTCCCTGCCAGCCAGCCCTCCCTGCCAGCCAGCCCTCCCTGGCCTCGAACTGCGCCCCTGGCTGGCGACTGGCCCTGCCCTCCCACAGCCGCCGGCTGGCCGGAGCTCCACAGCACAGGGCCGCGATTCCAGGTGGCCGCCATCAGCTGGGCTCCTGCTCAGGTGGCCACAGCGCCAGCTTCGTTGAGATGCGCTGGGCACACGGGGCCAGCCCTGGGGTCGGGGGGCCTGTGTGCAGGGCTGGCCCGACACGCCCGGATGGTGTAGATCAGCTCCCCGGAGAGCGCGGGCCAGCAGCGCCCGCCCGCCTGGCGCCCCTCCCAGGCCGGGTGCACAGCCCCCCACCCCCGCTGCCCTCGCTAATTGGAGCCTCGGTGGGCGCCGGCCTGGGGCCGCCGACTGGCGCTTACTAGCATCCGCTCCAGCCAGGAGGGTGGTCCGCGGGCTCCGGGCCCAGCCAGACCCTCTCCTGTGCTGGAGGGCAAACGTCGTGTCATCTCCACGTCCGCCTCGCGGGGAAGGTGGCGCGTCTGACCCGCTGAGGAGCGAGCCCTTCCCGACACCCTGCCACTGGGGCAGCCTGAGGCTCCCTTCGGCGGCCAGAGCCTCTCCACGGCGCTCGCCTCCGCTGCTCCCACGCTCCCTGGCTGAGGTTGGGTCCAGCCGTCCCCTCCTCCCCACCCCCGTCTCTAGAGGGAAAACGTGGGGCCCGCCTGCCCGCCCCGCCCTGCAGCCACCACAGGTGTTCCACGTGGGCCCCTCAGCCGCCCCCCTGGGGCCCCGGCCACCCTGTCCTGGAGGCCCCCGAGGTCCAGCCCCCATGCCGCACGCAGGCCCCCGCTCTGCCCCCCAGGGAGGGGCAGGCGTCTGCCCCTCCTCCACGCAGCCCAGCCTGCTGTGTGCCCGGCGGAGGGGACGCCGCAGAGCGGAGAGCAAGCAGCCCGTGCCTGGCCCCCAGTGACCCCCAGTGACACCTGCCCCTGCTTTCAGTCTCCGTCCGCTGGCGCCGATCGGAGCTCACCGCCAGTCGGTGCCCCTTGGGCATGAGCCTGGATTCGAAGCAGCACCCCCTTTCCTGGGGCTGTGGCTCGATGTGGGACTCCTCTGGGTTCTCGTGGACCCGCGGACCCCTGGGCTGCCTTCCTGGAGAGTGAGATGCGGCCCATGGAGGCGACGGGCTCCCTGGCCAGCGGCGCTGGACCAGCGCTTGAAGGCGCTGGGGAAACAGGAAGATCAGAAGGAGCCTTCCTGCGGTAAAGGCAGACCCGAGGGTCTCGTGCCCCCCTTAAAACAGCCCCCTATGAGCTATAAATACGAAAAGAAAAAGTCTCCTAAAGTCATCACCGAGCTGGCGAGGAAAAGTGGCCCGGGGGACAGGGTCAGGGGCAGCCGGGAGCCCGGGCGCACGTGTGGCCTGGGGTGGCGGGTGGCCAGGCGCCGTGGAAGTGGCCCGCAGTGGGTCACACGGCAGAGCCCCCACTGGCCTGGAGAGGCTGGACAAGAGCCACGATGCAGTGACTGAAACAGGCCGCACGCGTGAAGGGACCTTCGGTAGCACCCAAGGTCAGCACCCGAGGGCCACCTGGATGCAGGTGTGGACACCTGGCCAGGGAGGTCAGCTGACTGTTAAGCGCCTCCCTGGTGGCCGCAGAGAATGCAAAGCGGGCGCCGTGAGCGGACGCTCGTGGCGCAGGGCTGGGCCCTCCGTTCCGGCCACACACCCTGGCCGTGGCACCCTCAGGGCGGGCCGGGGTGCCAGCGGTTCTCTGTGTTGGCCCCGCGTGGAGGCGCAGCCACGAGGCCCAACAGACGCGCTGGTCCTGCTGGTGAGTCAGGAGGCGTGGGCTGGCCCGTGGGCCCTACAGGTGCAGCCACCGAGGCTGTGGATTCGGTGCCTGGAGCGCGGAGCAGACCCCCAGGTGCGGCTGATCTGGGGGTCATCGGGCCCATTAGCCAGGGGCTGGAACCGTCCCCCAGAGGGGCGGGGGAAACCGCGGTGGGCGGGGGGCGCCAGGTGGAGGCCCTGGGGCTCTCAGGCCACTCTGCTGCCCTGCAGAGTGCCTCCAGCAGCGGCCTTCAGGGATGGGGAGACCCGGGCGCCCCGGGGCTCCCAGAGCTGCGCGGTGAGGGCCCACCAGTCCCCGGAGCGGTCATGGCGGGACCGGGTGGCCGCACGGCTGGCCAGTGTGCCCACCCTGTGGACGGCTGACCGGCACCAGAATCCAGGGCCCCTCTGGGAGCCACTTGTGACCGTCCGGCGCCGCCTCCCGTGGCTTCTGCTCCGTGGCCCAGGGTCCGGCGCCGTCCCTCCGGCCCGCTCCATCGACCTCCGGGGTGGGGCTGCCCCCAGCTGAGGCCTCTCGCTGCGGTGAGTGACCCGCTGCCGCGCTGCGGCCTCCTGGGCGGCCGGCGCCATCTTGGACGAGGGGCCTTCGGGGCTCCTGGGCACGTCTGGGGGAGCCCCCCCCTGAGGCCCTAGAAGTGCTGTTTCCAGGTTGTTCGGTCAGCCCCAGTGCGGGCACCCGAGCCGAGTGGCCCTGCCACTGTGTGCAGAGCACCCACGGTGACCTGTCCTCTACTGGGCGCTGTCCCTTGCCTCACTATCCCCCCTCCAATACACTGTTTGGAAAGGGAGGACGGCAGCAGTCCTTGGAAAGACGGCCATGGCGCCGCCAGTGTCGGGCTGGGCAGCTGCCCCCAGGGAGGAGGGCTCCCCACCAGTAGTGGAGGGGCGTCTGAAATTCTGCACTTCCCCCGTGAAATGCAACCTAAATCAATTTTGCCCCAGGAGAGGGAGTTCCCGGATACGGGATTTTCAGATTTAAACTGGGCTCATCTTGGGCAATCTGGGACAGGTTGCACCATTCCAGAACCAGCTGCTTCCAGGTCGGGCATTCAGCCAAGCCTGGGCCAGCGCACCTTGTGGGGGGCAGCGGGGGCCCTTACACACTTGGCAGGAAGAGGAAGAGGAGGGAGGGGGGAAGAATATGAGAAGATGGTGGGAAGGAGGAAACCCAGCTGATCTGAGGATCCTCGCCGTCCTGCGCAGTGTCCCTCCAGCGCCCTCTACTGACAGAGGTAGGCATTGCAGCCCTGAAGGAAAGGCTGGAGAATCCGGCCAGTCCCAAGAGCGCAGGCGCAGGGCGCTGAGTCAGTGGGTGGCACGTGGTTGATTGGTTCTCTTTATTGCTGAGCAATATTTTATATCTTGTTTATATGTTTATCTGTTGATGGCATTTGAGTCATCTACAGCTCTGGGGGGTATTGTGAGTAAAACTACCATTTCCATAATTTATTTCTACAGCTAATTTTGATTGAGAGTTCTCTTTTTATCCAGAAAGCTTATTAACGTCACTTAATTCAAGTATTTTATCACTGGGTTTATTTACACTTTATACCCAGCCTGATGCTTTATCCCCAATCATACTGACTGAGAATGTGATTTATACCCTTTCCAATCTTTCTAATTTTTCTTATCTTATTGCAATGGTGAGGGCTTTGACCACAATGCTAAAAAGAAGTGCTAATATCAAGTCTACTTCTTGTTCCTCATCCCAGATGAAAAGCTTTCAAAATTTTACCCTTAAGTGTAACATTCATTGTAGAAAACATTTAAATACACTTTATTAGGAAATTTGCACAAATTTTTGCAACTGCTAAGCTTTTCTTCAAAAATCGTAAATTTTGCCCTTTTTTAGCTGTTTTTAAAAAGACTTTCTAAAAACTTTTTAATGAATTATATTCATAAAACCACATTGATTGGTTTTGCTGGGTTCACTCCTACAATAAACCACTTTGGTTGTGCTGGTTTAATGACTGTTAACTAGGTTTAATCCAACATAATGAATTTAGCTTGATAATATTTTGTAGGATTTTGCAGCTGTCTGTTATGAGCAAGATTGGCTGTCTTATTTGGGTTCCACCAAAGCAGGCCCTGCAAAGAGAAGGTGGTTGCAGGCAGAGTATTTTGGAGGTGATCCTGGGAAGCACGTAGGGACTGAGGAAAGCCAGTAGGACCTAGGTAATGGGCAGGCTACTGCTGGGGCCTTGGGGCCTTGGCTGTGTGCAGCATGCCTGCAGAGCCTCTCCCCCAGAGGCTGGGACAAGGAGTCACCATTTCCCATTGCTTTGCAGTTGCCTCAAGGAAGTTGGCGCCTCAATGCTGCAACCAGTTTACAACTGAGCAGTCCCTGGAGAGCCGAGGAAGCCCTCGGGCAGCGGTGGAAAGAGACACAAATGCTCAAGTGGAGAAGCTGTCAAACACTGAGGCGGTCTGCAGCGTCACAGGTGAGCCGAGGCATGTTGTGATTAGTGGTTTCTGCTACTGTCTACCCTTGACATTGCCCACATCGAGCTGTCTTTGCTGGTGATTTAAGGTTGTGGCCAGTGCCATCACCAGCACTATCTTTAACACAGTTTTACCACGGGATTAGTAGAAGTTCTCACCTTCTGGAGTTATCGATAAGTTATTGATATGCATTGCTGGAGACCCTGCCTTCCTGTGATGAGACTCAATTAATCCCACTAGCCCGATGATGCATTTGTCTGCTGATTGCCAGTGTGAGGGGCCCAAGTGATGAGGCCGCAACCACAGTTCTCTTGCTGCGTCACGTGGTGGAAAGCTTCCTAACCGAGGGGTTCAGAACTCAAATGCCACCAGGCCTAAAATCGCAGTAGTGAAGCATGAGTTCAAGTGGATCTCAGATGACTGGAGGGGCCAGGCCTTCCACTGCGTGGTGCCCAGATTCTTGAATTCTAGTTATTGGCCGTGTGGTACTAAATGGTGGCTGTTGTTTAAATGACTGTTGCATGCTGGAGGCAGAGCTCCCAACGCACGGTGTTGACACCAGGCCCAGCTGGGTCTTTGGAAGGCCGTTTGGTGTCAGGCTGGCAGCTTTGAGCCCACAGGTAGGTGGTAGGACCAGTGGACCCATGGGTGCACGCCATTGCACTCAGTCCTTGGTCCAGAGCGGTTGTACAGGTTCCTATTTCAGTACTTGGGCCCTGTCAGCTCCTGGGTTGTGGGGCTGGCAGAGGTGCTTATGACTCCAGTGTGAATCACACCCTCTCCAGAGTGCCTTGGTGGCTGACTGGTCTTGTGGGAGGATGGCACATTCTGAGGCTCATGCTGGCTTCTGCTCCTCACATGCTGGGTGTTCCGCAGCAGCAGTAGCTGCCAGATCAGTCTCAGTGTGAGAAAGCCCATGACCACCTCCATGCTGCCATCAGGGCCACAGTGAGTGGTCCCTGGTGCCGTGGTGGGTAGGCTGGCAAATGGCCACTGACCGTGTTGTCTGTCCAGCTGAGTGTTCAGTGCCTCCCTGTGGCAAAGATCCTCAGTGAGTACTGACATGAGACACCGTGATTCACTTTTGTGCTGGCTCCCAGAGGCGCGGCACATGGTCTGAAATCGCAATTCTGGCCTCTTCCCCAGCATTCATTGCTTCCCACCTCCTAATTTTGTTTCTTTCATGGCCCCGCCTAGCCAACCAAAGCCCATTCTCCATTCCCCTCTCCAAAGCACCACCCACTGGGTTTTCCCTCATCAGTGTCCTTTAAGATTGCCATTGAATGAGGCTGTAACGTAGCCAAGTGCAGTCCATCTGGAGTGCACACAATACCTTGAGCCAGTGCAGCTCTTTGCTGTGTATCTCATGCCCTTCCATACAGGGACTGGAACTTCTCAAAGGAAAGACTAAAATTAGCCTGTTACTGACCAAGAGGTTAACAAGGGCAAGTGGAGGGGGCTGTAAGGAGGAAAATGTCGTCTTGTGCGTCTCCAGGTGGTTGCAACTGACCTCCGGTGGTGAGAGGTGCTCCCCTCCATCAAGGGCGGTGGTGAGAGGTGCTCCCCTCCATCAAGGGCGGAGGAACCATCTGCAGGCCAGGGGTTCAATGTTGTTTAATCCTACCCCTGACGTCAGTCTTCATCAGGAACCCAGTTTTGTTCTAGACCTTTCCACTATATTCAGACTCCTTCAGCTTCCATTTCCAGTTGTTTGCAAATGGTTTTACTTTCATTCTTAGAGGGCGTTTTGCTAGGTATGAAAGTCTATGTTGGCAGTGATTTCCTTTCGCCACCTGGAAGGTATCTTCTATTGCCTTCACTTTCACCATTTCTACCAAGTAAGCTCAGTCTCATTACAGCTCCTTGTAATTAGTCTTTATTTCTTTGCTTAATTTTTTCAACTTTCAGCAGCTTTGCTATGGTATGTGTGGGGCTGTTTTTAATTTTCTTTATTCTGTTTGGTGTTTGTTGAATGACATGCTTATCATTGCTGAAATCTCTGCAGTCAGCATTTCATCGAAAGACATTACCTGATCTGCTAAGATGACATGGTTTTACGTGCTGCTGAAGTTCTACTGGTTATTTTCCCCTTCTATTTCTCATACTTTTTTTGGAGTAAACCACCAAAGACTAACTGAACAGATGCCGCATGGTGGCTGATGGCTGTTTCTGTAACACTGATTCTGCCAACGTGTGGGCCTCATTTAACATGGGTGGTGGTGGTCAGCCTAAAGGAAGTTTCTAGATTTTGCTACAAACCAAGCGAACCCGATAAAATATGCACACAGTGTACAAACAATCCTGTTATTTATTTATTTTGAATAAAAAAGTGGCCAAGATAACAATACTGATGGCTCTGCTTACAAAACACGACAGATTCCAAGTCATCTTACAGTTACCAAATGGCCTATGTACAGCACTGGAGACCCGCAGCAGCTGTCAGACTCTTACATACTAGAATCATATGCGCAAGGCAGGGGACATCCTACTGCAAAAAAGTGAACAAAACAAAGAAGTTTCATTAACTGGATGATCGGCCAACCAGGTAACTGGCAAAGAAACAGAGGGTCTGTTACCATTTTCTTTAGTTGCAAAGCTAAAGTAAGGTTGTCTCCAACAGTGTGTGGACAGACACCGCAAATTTCCATTCTATTATTTCCCCACTTCGAATTTCTCCTACAGCCTCCTGAAATTAGGTCAAAGTTTAGGGCACTGGAAAAAAAGGTGAAACAGTGCTAACCATATGGCCTGACCTGGCGCAACCCACAAGTTCAGTTCAAGCCCAAGAAAGAATCTGGCCCCCCTCTGGTCAGTAAGTGTTTGCAGTTTGGACCCTCTGGCAAGAGCGAGCCAGCCTCGTCGTAAAGGGGGCAGGAAGTGACTTGCTCTTCACATCAGGAGCACCTGCTCTGTGCAAGGCACTTTACACTAGGTGCCGCAGGGACTGCCAAGGGGAGGCGGCCAGCCCTGCCCTGAGGAGCTTACAATCTAATCGTGAACGCTATGTACATATATACAAGGGAGGGAAACGGCCGACTTCCGGTTGGGGTATGCCAAGCCAAGTATATCATGAAAGTGGTCTGTATGGTTTTTTTGTTTTGTTTTGAAGTGTAAGCACTAAAAGCCTAAAATCACACCATCTACGCAGATGGTAAGAATTAAAAAAAACCATCTCATTTCTACAACCTTAAGCGTTTAGATGCCTCTTTTATTTTAAAAACGCCATCTGGAAACATCCACGTACTGCGAAGCCAAGTGTACGGGTTAGCACAGGCACTGGGTAAACAGAAAATATGTCACTATGCACAGCACGCTTATTTCCTACGGGCTTATTTCTATATAAACAAAATTGATACTCACTTTCCCTTCATACATTAAAGTACAAATCTGAGCCTTGAAAAAGAATCATTTATTTAATGCTGCATTAGTGCCTAAGACAAAATGCTCCACATCCGACCGGCCTGTGAGTCAAGTACAAAAGTTTTCCAAACCCGCACCGCCTTGCACATAGTGCAATGTGACATTTTACCGTCTCTTCGTCATGAAAGGAGCAGGGTTTCATGATGGCCAGATAAATGATGTACTTGCAACTTAAGATTCAGAGAGTTGTGGAATTTGTCAGCCAGATGGCCCACACCTGGAACCACACCGGTGTGAGCTCTCTCCCTCTGTCCAGTGCCATGGGGCTAGGCCACGTGACGTCGCCCTACGTGAAACGGCCGACTGGCACTTCAGAGTATGCTGTCTCCCCTCTAGAGTATGGTTATAATGCCAAGAAAATGCGAGACAAGAATAGTTCATTACCTCAACAAAAATAACTTTTAAAAGGTTGAGTCATATAACCAGAGAGAGACACTGGGGAAGAGCTAGCAGATGCCAGAGGACGAACTTCACAGAACACCGAGTAAGCCGCCTCGGCCTGTTCAGTGTGCTGCTCTCCACACTGTTTTCAGAAACTGGCCTGAAGACCGGTGCATGCAGACAGGAGGCTGCAGCCACCGCAGCTCGGCCCGGCTACGAGCCCTGGTGACGGGCTGACACCCGCGCCCAGGAGCCCAGCTGCCCACTGGGACAGCCACCGGCACACTGGCGTCTCAGAGCAACTCTCACTCCGCCCGGTGGACTCTCTCTGCCCAAAGATCGGCGGCACTCCGCGAGCCCTGATGGGCGTGAAAAGCAGACGCCACGACCTTAACTCCGACACCCTCATTTCGTGTCAAGAAAAAGCCGCTGAGGTTAGAAGCAACCCGAGGCTGCGTCTAGTTCTGCCGTGAGTTGCCAACTAGAACGTTCACAAACAACTAAAGTGAGGGCAACTCACGTCTCTAGACCCTCGGAGGCCGTTCTCAGATGTGACTCTCGAGGGGAGCCGGGCTCCCGGTCTCGGTCCACTCGCAGCTAAGCTCCGGCAAGTGCGAGAAAAGCCGCGAGAGCAGCACCCAGCCTGCTCCAGGAGCGCCGGGCTGACGGGCCCGCTCGCCCGTGTGCCGCCCCTGCCAAGAAGGTACCAAGGTGGTGCCAAGGCAGGCCCACCTTCCCTAGAAGGCCGAGGTCTGCTGCCTCCGCGCCTCGGCTCCGCTTTACCTGACTTTCGCCTGACCAGAATGCTGGCCGGCGGTGGAGTCCAGCACACTCAGCTGAAGTCCAGCTAGGAGTGAGGGAACCAGGCGGTACGAGTTTTGGAGAAAACCAGGTACAGTTCACCAAGATGCTGTTAACAACCATATCACAACTCTCTTCTGGCCCGTGACATGATTTAGCTTTCAGACATGTCATGTTAGCTCTGAAAATGCCCTAAGCTTGTGAGGTCTGAAGGAAGGGGGCTCAACAAGAGCCCCCGAAAAGGCAAGATGGGTCAAGATGGGTCAGGGTCAAGATGGAGGGGCCCCGTGGACACGAACCCGGTGCAGGTTTCCTGCCAGACATGCAGCCCACTAAACTCGGAAGCAGCTTCCCGAGGGGGGAGGGGGGACTGGCGCCCTCCTCCCACAAGCGCGACTTGTCCCGCCCTGGCAGTCACCACAGAGCATGTCCCTTCTGAACCCCCGCTCTGCACTCCTGCACCCTAACTGAGCTGTCACACTCCGGGGTGGGCCGGCCGGGACTCTTCAACAGCCATGCCTCAGGCTGCTGAGGGGGGAGGAGCAGAAAATGTCACGCTCACCCGTGAACTGCACCAGCAGCTCTGGTGGCTTCTGACAATGAAAAACGCCGGGCCGCTGGGGCAGCTTTAACAGTGGATGAGGCTGCTTGAAGGCCGGGCGAGGGCACACGAGGGCCTCAGACACCTGACAGCCATCTGTCTCTTATCCGGATGGGACGGGACCCGCAGGCGGCAGGCCTGGGTGGGCGGCTGTGGCCCCCGAGCGCCACGTGCAGTGCCGTGCACAGCGACGTCACTTCCGCCGTGTCTCCTGCACCCTCGCGGCCACTGCAGCCACAGCTGGGATAAGCCGGAGGCCCCCCGAGGTCAGGCAGCGTGGGCAAGTGTGCACGCAGGTCACGCCCGCCACCGCTGTCCGCTACAGGAACCTCAACGCACCGCACAAGCGTTCACCGAGCATCTCCTCCCCCGTCAGCAGTCAACCTCCGAGGGTGGGCGGCCCACGTGGGGCCTCCCAAAAGGCTGCAGAAATTTGGGGCTGAACCAGGTGCCGGCTGGGTTTTTGAGTCTTAGGGACGCCGTCAGACCCAGGGCCACTGGAGAGAAGCCGGTCTTTGGCGAACAGTCACCACATTTACTCCTAGGCACAGCTACAAGCAATCCGGGGAACCTCTTTAGCCTAATTCCTAGCCGTTGAATGCTTCCCACAATGCACAGCTTCTTTTAAGACTTGGTCATGGCAGCAGCACAACCTTCTGGCAAGAACAGGTCACCTACTGCGAGCGGAAGTGAAACTAAGCACGCCAGGACCACCAAGACCGCGGCCATTCCTCGGCGGCGGCAGCCCAGAGGGGACGCTGCTTGGGCACGAGCGACGCAGGCTGTGATGCCGCCTGGGCTGCTCTCGAAAGGCATGTTACGTGCTGACCGGAGAGTGGAGCCAATATTCTTGAGCTCGCCACCAGAGAAAGCAGGCGGCTCCGGCACACACAATTCAACACAAGAGACGGAACAAAGGTGGCCAGGACGAGGCGTGTCCGAGCAGACCGCCGGGCGGCCGGTTCCCCAAGCCCCAGTGGGCCCGCCGTGAGGCCGCCCTGTCCTGAGACGGCGAGAGAGGTCACAACAGAAAGTCTGCGGCAACTCAGAGCCTCCCTTTCTGCCGTTCCCACCGGCTGTCCGGAGACACGCATCGCTGCGGGGGGCGCCGTGGGGGGCCCGGCACAGGCCCGGGAGCCCCCAGGACACGGCACCGCCACTCCACGGGGCCCGACTTTTACTTTTGGAAGACGAACCAACATCCGACGCTGCTGTGCGACAGCGGCAGGTGACACCCTGCATCACAGACCCCAGGGCCCCTGCAGAGGCCCCAGGGCCCGCGCGTCTGCTGTGGGCAGTCTCCGAGGAAGTCCCTGGGTTCCGCGCGCTACCGTGCCGCCCAGAAGTGCAATGTCTGGAGATGTCAGCCTTAGAAATACTCAAAGTGTTTATTTAGAACTAAAAGGGGAAAGTCCTCTGCTTCTCCCAGGTACAATCAGTCTCATCTAGGTTGTCACAAGCCGGTCCGAAGCGGGGCCGCGACGCGGAGCTCGGACTTGCGGTCATGCGCACGAAGGAGCTGGCGGGCGGTCTGGGAGCACGGAGACCCTTAAACACGGGCCGCAGCTGAGTGACTCGGAGAGTCACTGGGTTCCGACACATCAGAGCCCTCTATAGCCTCGGCACTGACCTCTTAAAAATTCTCTTGGGAAGGCATTTTCGATATGCATGGCAACAGCAGGGCGGTTATAGCTCGGCAGCTACTTGTTAAGAACAAACGTCAGGCCCAAGCATCATTTACACAGCTTTAATATCTGCCGGTGCCCGGAATACCAGCTACCAGACCATGTGACGGCCACGAGGCGGTCCCAGGCGAGGGAAGGATGACAGCCCTGCCCTGCCCAGCCACGCGCTGCCCCAGCCCTCCAGAAACACCCGTCCCTGCAGTGACAGGGCGTTCTTTTTGCTCAAATGGTTTCGGTCACGGCACTTGAAAAGTAAGTGTTCCTCGTCCGCGGGAAGCGTGTGGGCCCCATGCTCCTCTCAAAGGGATGCACGTCCCCGGCCTCTGTGGCACGAGGGCACCCTCGGTCCCTGGAGGCAGCGCGCCCCGGAAGTGAGTCCCGGGCCCCAGGCAGTCCGGAGAGGCCTCTCCCGTCCACCGTGCTGCTCCGCGCCCGGCTCTTCGGGCTCAGGCGTTTTCGGTAGGGGGCGCCGGCCCTCTCTGCTGCGCCCTCCGGCACTAGAACACGGGAGAATCGCAGAAGGGGCAGGGGCTCTGCAGGAGCCGCTTGATCCAGTCGGGATCTGCAACAGGAAGACAAGCGGGTTAGCGCCGCAGCGCGGCCCGAGGCCAGGACACGGGTGCCGGCTCAGCGCCGGCCCGGGAAAGCGCCTCACCGCACGCCAAGCGAGGCTGCACTGACCCTGCGGTTCCCAAATCAGGGGTGACGGCGCCGTCACCCCCTGGGCTGGAGCTGGAGGATGAGAGTCGTGCTGTTTCATGAAGTTATGTTTACTCAATTTAAAGAAAACATCACACAGCTGACCCTGTGGCGGCGGGGTGCTGACCCCCCGTGTAGTCAAAATGCACATGTAACTTTGACTCCCCCAAACCTAACTGCTGGCTTGCGGCCACCTGACTTCCCATGAGAATGTCGGCCCCAGCACGCCGCGGGGTCTGCCGCTCACAGCGGGGTGCGGCCCCAGCACGCCTGCCTGCCGCGGGGTCTGCCGCTCACAGCGGGGTGCGGCCCCAGCACGCCGGCAGCTGGGTCTGCCGCTCACAGCGGGGTGCGGCCCAGCAGAGAGCAGCAGAGCAGACCCAGCTGCGCTCGGCGCACGTGGCAGCCACACCTCGTCCTTTCTTTGTTCTTGTCGTCTTCCCAGGCCACCAAGTTCTCGTGAGAGTCTTTTCGAGGTTCCGTCCCAGGGACTTCTGGTCTAAAGATCTGCGTGTGTGGAGCCCCCCATTCAGACTGTTCGTCAAGGGCAGTCGCACTTTGTCCTCAGAGTGCATCTCACTGTGGGGCCGCAGTCGCCGGCAGGAGCCGCCCGGCAGGAGCCTTCTGAACATGCCCCCAGGCTCGGCCCGGGACGCTGCAGCCTCCGCAGGGCCCAAAGGCCGCCACGCGGCGCGGGGTGGAGGGGACAGCGAGCCTCCGGGTTCCTGGAGCGGAAGGGGCGCCCTCCAGCGCTCCGGGGCGGCACGGCACAGGCGCCGAAGCGCCCTTGCGGCAGCGGTCGGTTTCGAGCAGCCACCGAGCAGGACGCGGCTCCACATCGAATGCTTTGTCTGGTTCGCGGGGCCCCCCGAACGCACCGTGAGCGCGCTCACGCTCACATGCCGGGGTCTGACCAGGGGTCTCTTTGGTGTGCGAGCTCACGGGCCCCAGCTCATACACAGGAAACTCCGGGCTATCTCGGAAATGCGGGCTCTGCCAGGGTGCTCTCAGGCAGGAGGAAGCAGAGCCCCCGAGCCCCCGAGGCACTGGGAGGGCGCTGTCTCTGCTGCGTCTCCCCTGGGACACAGGCCAACCTCAAGCGAGGTGACACTTCGGGCAGTGAGGAACAGTGACGGGCCTGCAGCTGCAGCCCCTGCTCACGCCCGCGACACGCAGGCGTCGTGTGGCTCCGCGTGACGTGTGGAGAGCAGCCCGAGCCCGCTCGGCAGCCCTGGCGCAGGACACCGAGCCCGGCCAGACCCGCAGGCTGCGCCTGGCCGCCCGCAGGGCACACACTCACCCTCTGGGGCCGGGTGGCGGGCGATGCTGTCGTGGAGCAGGCACCGCCTGTATATCAGACTCTGGCAGGACTGGTAGGTTAGAAAGCACCTGAAAAAGAGGACTCACGGTTAGTCCTGCCAACGCTGGGACTTGGCGGGTAATCACAAACCCCCCGTGAAGAAAGGAAACGAACAAAAGTCGTTCCCAGGTTTGGGGTGGCAGGTGCTGCTGTGCACACTGACGCTGGGCGGACCCCGGCCCTGTGGGAAGAGAGGAAGGCGCCGTGCTGGCCTGAAGCGCAGAGCCGAGCCGCGGACCCGCAGGCGCCACCCTTCGTCCTGCGTGCGCGGGCCGAGTGGTCTGTCCTGGACCGAGTGTACTCTGCATATGTGAGATGTGACAACACCTGGCACTGAAAGCTTTCTCGTCAGTGGCGTTCAGTGCTCTCTCTACTCTGCCAGTACCGTGGGGAGCCCTCTAAGGTCGCGGCGGGCAAAAGGGTTCAGCTACCCCCGCGGCTCACGTCGCCTGCCTGGTGAGCCTCGGACCCAGCCAGTCTGGCGGGAATAACGCCACGAGGGGCCTCGGCTGAGCTCTGCGGGGACAGTCTTCCAAAAGATGGAAATCACGTCAGCCGCACAACCAGGGATCAGAAAAGTCCGGGGGTGGGGGAGAATGAGGCGCCCGCGGCCCAGACTGGCGCAGGAAGGGCCCCGCTGGGGGAAAGCAGGCACCTGTGCTTGCCTGGAGAAGCCACTCCAGCATTCTGGCACCAACTTCAACCAGCCAGATTGGACATAATTTCTGTGGAAAAGCCCGAGACACAGAAATGTGTCGTGATCCAGGGTGCCAGGACCCCAGCCCTGCACCCACTGAGAAGCTGGGAGCGCCTTCCACCCCCAGGAGTCAGACAACCGCCCACACACGCTGGCCGCAGGACGCGCACTCCGGTGGGCGCCACGCGGACGGCCGCACGGAACACGGCTGCTGTCACTGCCGCACCTGCTGTGGGTGGAGACAGGCTCATCTCCTGCTCCCCTAAAGAAAAGTCTGAAAAGTCAGATTAGGAAATTTTGCAACACAAAAAGCCTAAAATTCTACCATCCGTCAGTGAGGGAGTCGACACTGGGACGTCCCAGCACGCAAGTTTCTTCAGCCCTTAGGAAGGGGACCCACGTGTCGGCGTGGGGAACGCCATCGTATTTTGTGAAAAACCCGCAAGCGGTTGAGGTCTGGTGTATAGTGCCATTGTTCTGTTAAAAATTAATTTACAAACAGTGCTGACCAGGTGTCAGGCGCTGCACTACGAACAGGAAGAAAACAAAGCTTCCTGTCCTCGCGGAACTTTCCATTTCAGACGAGCGACAGGACTAACCGGCAGCAATCACCTCTGAGGACAAAGCAAAGGGCTGGCTGCCTGCAGGAGGAGGGCAGGAAGGCCCGAGTGACTCAGGCCCCACCATCACCCTGGACAGGGTGTTGGCTGTGCTCAAGGGACGCCCCACGCCACCTCGCCCGAGCAACCCCCAGACCAGGCCGCGGTGGAGCCAGGCAGCACGGCCCTCTCCGTCACTGGAGCATTTCCATGACTCTCCTCCTCAGAGGTGGGTGGCTTTGGGGAGTCTTGAGTGGGGGTGTCCCAGTGTATTCTGAGGAGAGCTATCACGCCCTGTTAGGGCCAGGAGGGAGCAGGAAGCAAGAGGGCGCACAGAAAAGCAGTCACTGCCGCTCGGTCATGGGGGAGCTTCTGAGTGTTCTGGAGCAGTGACGCCGTGCGGGCCGGCGCTGCAGGCATGCGGCTGGCTTCGAGTGGAAGCGCCTGCTAACCTCCCAGCAGAGCTCGCGGGCGCAGCTGGCCTTCCGGGCAGGGGAAGAGACTTGGGCTAAAGTTCTCGCCAAGTCACCAGTGTGCAGAGACACGTGACCCCAGAAGACACTGGAGCAGGATGAACGAGTGTTGGACAGCTGCTGTACCAGGAAGCCAGGGAGGGGGCCCGTCTCAGAAGCAGCTCGGGGAGCCGTCCGAGGGGTCACAGGTCCAGAACGCCACTTTTACTATAAAACGGACAGGGCGCGTTTCTATATTCTGGCAACAGGCATTACTGCCAGAGTGAGTGTAACACTCGATGCCGTCTCAAAGAGAAAGTCGCCGAAATAAGGAAACCCTACACGTGAGGGCGCCCGCCTGTGGAAAGACGACCCCAGGTCCACACAGCAGCTCTGCCACGGGCCGCCGGCCGCCGGCGTGGGGGCGGCCTGCCCTGGCAGCACAGCCTGGGCCCCGGGCAGAGCGCAGCTTACCGGAGCCAGATGTGCCCGTTGGAGCAGACGGCCTGCTTGCGGTCCGTGAAGGGCAGGACCTCCTTGCACAGGCTGCAGTGCTCGGGGAACGTCTGCTTGTTCATCTTCTTCGAGATGTGTCCGATCAGCACCTAGCGAGACAGAGCGGTCAGCACCCGCGCGGCGAGGGCGGTGTCCTGGGCAGCGGCCCACCCGCACGAGGACAGAGGCGCCGGGAGACCTGTGGCCCACAGAGCCCGGCCACGCTGCACGACCGCCGACTCATGTCGCCGGCTGAGGAGCCACCGCCGGGCCGTGGCGCGGGCGCGCTCTGGCCGCAGCAGGGGCCTGTGCTGACACCCGTCACCTCGTTACCTGCCTTGTTCTAGTTGCTTCCGAAACAAAGACTTCCGCGTTCTGTGAGAAGACAAAGTCAACTATTATTTATAGTTCTGATTTTAAGGCGGAAAGCAAAACTGCATAGGCAAAGTATTACGAGAGATACTAACTGTGCAGACTGGTACAGATGCCTGTTCTGTAAGAGACTGGCAAAGTGGAAAGATAATCAGGATCAAGAAAGCAGCAGTTCCCTGGAGGCACGGAAACAGCAAGGGGGCAGGCGGCTGGCCCCTGATCGCTGGGCCACGCCTCGTGCGTCACTGTTCTGCTGAGAAAGCCGCCGCCCAGTCCTGCAGACCAGCCACCCGGCTCTGACTCGGCGCGCACCGTGCCACAAGCCCCCGGGTCTGAGGGTGCCTGGCTAGAGCTCAGAACTGGGCCAACAGCCCCGTCCTCACGCTGTTCAGAACGTGCCAATCTCAAGCCTATTCGTTTTTGGTCTTTTTGGTCATTAGCCTTGAGAACGTGGACTTAGGGGTCCCTCGCTGAACGGACAGCCACCCCTCCCCTTTTCTAGACAGGCCGAATGCCCGGAGTGGGCAGGATCCCCTGCTTGGGACCCCCCGCAGAGATGCTACTGTAGCTCAGAAGTGCGCCTCTGTCTGCTGGCAGCCCCAGCGGGGCCACTCTAACCCTGCCTTCTCAGTGGGTTAGAGGAGGGGTGTCGGCCCCCCCTCTGGGCGCACACTGGCTCTTGGGGGACAAAAAAGCTTCTTATGCTTTTTACGGATAAAGCACTGCTACTCAGGCACATAAACAGGCACGCAGAGTCTCTGTGGCACTAAAATTTCATGGGCAGTAACAGGGAGAGTGTCTAAGAATGTTGGGGTGCGCAGCGGGGGCTGACAGAAAGTTCCAAATGCGGCTCTAACCACCCCGGCACCACGCTGAGTTGTGCCGAGCTCCTTTATGATCCTAGCAAGTCATGAAGTAGGCGTAAGTCTTAATTTCACGCATATGATGGGAATTTTTCAGACATGAACTACAAGTTTTCTGGTCAAAACTCTGGAAAGGGCGCCAAATGGGCGCCGGCTGGGCCTGGGCCCCGCCACAGCCAAGCGCCCAGCCAACTCCCGTTGCCTATTTTCTAAATATCTTTGCTGGCATTTCACCGACTCTCTACACAGCCTTGCTCGTCCAGCACACTCTCACGGAATCCAGGCCACGCCGAAGCACACTTAAAAGCTCCCACGGTGGAGAGTCGGTGACATGGACAGTGTGTCACAAGCGCCTGAGGTTGCTGTGAGCAGCCTCGGGAGGAACGCCGGGCGCGCACCTCCGACAAGAGACCCGTGGGAGGCTGAAGGTTCGGGATGAAGCCCCTGCCCTCGGGCACCGGCGCTCGGCAGGCTTTAGGCAACGCGGGGATGCGCCAGGCCCGGGACAGAAAGACGCGGATCTCTGCAGTCCTGGGCACTGGGCACGCGCCCGCGCCTCAGCACACAAGTTCCCGGGCCCTGGCAGCCGCTCGCCGAGAGGGCCCAGGAGGGTGTCTAACACCGAGCTAGTCAGAGTGCCAGGGCTCCTTTCTGCGGGGAAGCTCGGCACCCTCAGGACTAAGGCGTGCCGGGAGCCTGTAAGTGGGGTACAGGTGTGCGGCGTTTCCCCACACTGGGAACCCTAGTGTTTGGTGAAATGTATTCTGAGTAACTGAGAGATGGTTCCAACATCAAATGAAGACTGTGCTGCCTACTTTTTATTTTAAAAAGTAATTTATACACTTTTCTTGATTAAACTGGAAGGCCTCTTCAAGTACTTCACACCCCCCTGCTCCCAAAAGCCTTTTGCAAAGAGCAGGGGCAGGGAGCCGGGCACCCACCTTCCCTGCTGCCTGACCGCCAGTCACACGCGCTGCCGAAGGCTGCTGCCACCTCCGGCTCATCCACGGCCCAAAGCCACCTCGCCAACACATCACACAGCTCAGTGCGCGGGGAACAGAAACCGGGGCCAGCACTAGCCGCACCTCCCACTCACTGCCCGGCCCCTCACGCTCATCCGCCAGCCACCCCATCAGCAAACGCCTTAGGAACCCGGCCCAGTCGCCTTCTCACGCAGCAGCCGCCGGCCCGCGGGCGGCCAGAGGGCACCTACCCGCGCCGTTCGGTCGTCATACTCCTCGTCAGACATCAGGAAGTTGCAGAGCCCCCTGGTGGGGATGCTGGTGTTCTCCGTGATCCAGGTGTGCAGGTACACTTCCCCCAGGACTCGCTTCATGTGCTCCCTGGTCAGGTGCATTTCCACCGCTTCAATTTTCCCTTGGATTTCGAGGAGCTTCTCTTCCATGGGCTCCCGGCCCCCAACATCTCCGGACGGGGTGAGGGAGTCGTCGGCGGGGTCGTCCGGGTCCCCATCTCGGCTCCTGTCCTGAAGGCCTGGCTTACTGCCCTGTTTGGAAGTGCCTTCCTCTTGCTGCTCGTCCTCGGCGTTGCCCATCCCCGGGGAGTCCACCAGCAAGGCTTTGGCGTCCTCGTGGGCGGGTTTCCACAGGGCTTCGGAAGGCGTTTTCTGCATCGACTGGTACAAGATCCTCAGAAGGAAAAGCTTGAAACGCCAAAAATAGGTGGTCCCGCTGCTCTCGATCTTTTTCTCCAAAGCTTCGTGTAAGAACTGAGGGATGTGCTTGTCTCTCAGGATCTTCCAGCGCACTAGGTCTATCAGGTCCACCTGCTTGAAAAGGTTCTGCACTGACGATTCTAGCAGCTGAGCAGCTGCCTCTTCGAAAGTTTTGAGGGTGACGAACTGGACCTGGTAGTTCTTGTTCACGGGGTGCAGGCCGTTGACCATGCCCTCCGTGGTGATGACGGCCAGGTAGGCCCCACAGGGGCTCACCGAGATCCCGTGTGTTCTCACGGAGCCAAACACGTCTGAGAGCTTGATCAGCTGGTGCTCAAACTTCAGCGCAACATCTGTGAAGATGGGAATCAGCTGCCTGACCTTCCCGTCGCTGGAACAGGTGTAGACGGTGCCGTTCTGCTTGTCTGCGGTCATGGAGACAATGGGCAGCGAGTGAAGGCCCGTGACGTGGGAGTTGTGCACGTTCAGGCCCGCCCTGGAGATGAGCAGGAGGCACCAGAACACGTAGGAGCCTCGCGCGGCCACCACCAGGCTGCAGCTGCACTTCTGGTAAGGGTGGTAGAGGGGCACACACTTGATGCTGTGCACGGGCAGCTGGTCCATCTCCTTCCACAGGACGACAGGCTGCCTTAGCGTGAAGTAGCCTTTAACGGCTTTGAGGTTGACAGGAAGGATTTTGACCGGCCCGAAAGCACTCCCCACGATGAGGCCGCTCATCTTCCGGTTGTTGTGCTCATATTCCCACCAGAACAAGACGCTCGGAGAGCTGATTCCCGACTCAATGGTGTTGCACGAAGAGATGGACTCCTTCCCAACAAAGGGCAGCTGGAACTGCCACACGGCGATGTTCCCGTTCTCGAAGAGCACCGCCAGCAGCACGCTGCCCACATCCCGGCACTCGTTGTTGTGCTTGACCTGCTGCGTGGTGCAGATGCCCGACCACTCCATCCGCACGGGCGTCTGCATGCTGTGTCTCCGCTGGAACTCGGCGAAGTCCCCCAGGGTGCCCTCTGGGGCCTCGGATTTGGAGAGCCTGTAACTGCTCTCATACAGGCGCTCTCCGTAAATCTCCGTCAGGTCGACCAGCTGGACCCACTGGAGTCTGCTCAGGTTCGCCTGGACAGTCAGGCGGTTGTCCATGGTCAGCGCTGCCAGGAGGCACCTGCCGTTAGCGTCACAGCCCATGGGGGACCAGCTGGTGTACTTGAACCCTCTCATGGGCGGCAGGGCCTTCCCCTCTGGGTTGAACGCCCTGTCCAACATGAAAGTCTGACTGACCGTGGGGTCTTTGGAGGTGGCGAATTTCTCTTTACACTCTGCAACTTCTGTCTTTGAGCCAACCTGAAAGGAAGAGAGGAAACGATCACACATATACTCCACTCTGAGAGGAACAGATTCAGCTTACCTGGGGTGCACGCAGCATTTTCTATCAGTTCTGCTCATTCTGCCGAGAAGCGCTTTGATCAGACCAGGCACACATCTGAGGACTCAACGAGCATCTCTCAGGAAGTGGCAGCTTTTCTAAGCATCTAAATAAACATCTCCATTTACAGGTCATCTCCCACCTTCTTGGACTTGACTTAAGCGCTGACAGAGCGCTTAGCTGAACTATCACAAAGCGATAAAGGCGCTAAGGAGTCATGAAAATATCGACCATGTCTCTGATGCCATCAGAGATCTCAAATTTTAGAAGACTTTTTGTGATACAAAGGTCATAACTGAATTTCATTTGTAAATAATGCCGACAGCCAAGTCCACCGGCTCTGACCCTTTTCCTGTAGCACCCTCCACTGGGATCAGGCCACGTGCCTCCCCCCTTGCCGGCCCACACCCCTCCCTCCCACGCAAGCCCCTCCTGAAGCAGTCTGAGAATTGGAGATGATCTCTCATCACTGTTCCCTCCTCCACCTTTGTAACATATATTGGCAGAACTCTGTATTTAGGGCTAGCTAGAGGTGACGAACTCTTTTAAGAGTTTCAAGGGGTGGCCCTCCCTGGTGGCGCAGCGGGTTAAAGCACTGCACTGAGAAGCTTAGGCCGCTTCCGCATGAGTTCGATCCCCGCCTGCCCCGGAGGTGACCACAGGGCGCGGCAGACCTCTCCTGACCCGCCCGCTGCTCCCCTCAGCAGTGGACTTTGTCAGTCTGCCTGTTCTGTTCCCCACTCTGTCTCTGGTGAAGCCTCTCACCACCCCTGTACCTCTGGCCTGTACCCCAGTTCTGTATGCACAAATAAATAAAAACTTAAAAAAAAAAAGAGTCTCAAAGGGTGTAAGGGGTGTTAAAGACGGAGACAGAGAAGGAGATGATACCCAAAAGAAACTGGCCCAGAGTCCTCATAAAAAAAGCTAAAGCCGAAAAAGAGCAGAGGTCAACTAAAATACTGTTCACGTCGCGTCCAAAGCAGGGAGAGAAGTGACTCCAACAGAAAGCGGAGCCCGACGATGTGCTTAGTGTCGCTCTCACACAGAAGCCCATCTTCAAACTGGAAAGGTACAACAAGCAAGACTGCAAAGGAACCCAAGCCGTGACACATCGGCAGGAGCGGTCACTTTACACAAGCTCACGCCCACACCCAGAGGAGCGACGCCCCGAGACACAGGCAGGACGGGAAGGTGCTGAGCTCGGAGCCCCCGACCGCATTCCTGGTAATGCCTGGGCAGCAGAGAATGTGTCAGAAAGCCAGAGTGCCTGGTTCCGAAGCACCCCCGGTCACAAACAGGCTGCCGAAGCCACAGACCACTCAACCTGCTGTGGAATTACATTAGTCAGTTTTACCAGGTGAATGTTTTGTGCGAAGTGCGGCGACCAGGGGAAGCTAGTGGAGAACAAGCGGACTAACTCACGCTTTCCGCTGGAACTGCTAGACGACATAACTAGACACGTGGAATGAAATGGATCCAACGAGCTAATGAAGGACCGACGTTACTGGAAGTGCGGGGACACACTCCCCGACTGCCCCTTGAGGAACCCCAGAAAGGTTGCCCCTGTTGGCCTCCCAGGAACACCGGCCAGCTGTCGTGACCAGGGGCCACTGCAGTGACATGTCACCGTGGTCCACACTGTTCATTAATGACAGAACCATTCTTGGGCAGTGCTGCTCTTTACTATGCCGGCGGGTACCCTGGAGAGGCTGTCTTGGGCAGTACGTCTTTATTTTTAAAGGCAGTGAAGATAGTCTCTTGCTACACTTGAGGACATGCTGGAGATCCCAATACAATAGTGGCATGGCTGGCTTGCCCATTAATAAATACGCTGATCAAAGCTCGGAGCTCTGTTTAGACAGAAACGTGACAAACGCCACGGTGAAGCGCAGCACAGTGACAGGAACCGGGCTGACACCAGACGCCTGGTACACGCTCCAGTGCTATCAATGCCAGCTCTGTGCCCCTGTGCAAACTGTTTTAACCCTTCTGGCCCGAATAGCCTCATTTATATAAACAATAACACCTGCCTTGGAGTCAGGCAGGTTAAGTAAGTCAATACCTGAGAAGCATATACTGGTGAGTGCTCAGTGAAGGTTAGCTGTGATGATTTTTATTTTCTCCAAGGGCTCAGTAAATGTTAACGAGACCTTTAAGAAGTATGTGAAATACAGGGGAGATATAGATCCATCAACTCTCCTCAAACTGTAAACTGAGCAATAAGCCTTAGAATAGTAAACTTGCTGCAAAGAAACGCTGCTACGGAACTGGACGTCGACTTACAGACCCACGGCACAGACGAGGCAGAGGCGGGCCCGCAAGCCCCGGCCCCACTGGCCCCACTGCGTGGGAGGCCGGCGCCGGGCGGGTCCTGACCGGCGGGCACAGTCCTTACAGCCTTAGGACCAATTCAAGCAAGCATATTTCATGTGCGCCGACTGCAACTCTGCCTATCGGAGCTGGCCGGCAGCGTGTACTCAGAGCCCGGAGGCGCTGCCAGCGAGCAGGGCAGCACCCCAGGCCGTCCCGGTGCCGTCCCAGCCACGCATTTCACTGCATGCCGCTGCCTCACACCAGCGGGCGGGGCCGCCAACGCGCTCACTGCCTCCAAGCACCCAGCAAACCACAGGAAGCGATTAGCTAGCATGGTTCTTGAGGGCAATAGCTGTTTACCTTCACCTGGTGGGTGCCGTCAATTCTTTCCCATGCTCCCAACCACTGACACATGATACAGCTAGACAGACACTAGTTATTAGAATCTGGAACTAAACACAACTAGAGGACTCACTAAACCAGCCCACTGAGAAGGAAAGCTGCCACTATTTTTTTTAATTCGAACTTCTTTTTCTTTGTAAAGATGTATTTATTTGTGCATACAGAACTGGGGTACAGGCCAGAGGCTCAGGAGCGGCGAGAGGCTTCACCAGAGACAGAGTGGGGAGCAGAACAGACAGATGGACGAAGTGCACTGCTGAGGGGAGCAGCGGGCAGGTCAGGAGAGGTCTGCCGCGCCCTGTGGGTCACTCCCTGGCCGGGGATTTAACTTGTGCCATAGCAGCTGTGCCAGCTTCACCCGCTATGCCACCAGGGAGGGCCCACAACTTAGTCTTAAACCACTGTTTTACTGCTTTGCGGATTTAGCTCATTCACCTTTCTGTCACATGACGGTGTCCTAACAGTGACTTGCGGAGAGCGGATGGTTAGTAGTATTAGATGACCTCAGGTGTCCCCAAAGCTCACAATCTACATAGCAGAGTGATGGAGCAAAAGCTGGAAGCAGCCCAGCATCTCAGCCCCGGGCACAGAGCTGGTACTCCGGTGGCGCAAGGGCAAGCTGGGCGGCACTGCGCAGGTTAAATCCCGGGGGGGAGGGCACAGGGGAGCCCTCCAATACTGATTTAGACTACCTGACCCCACCCCCAACCCCCAGAGGCCTCTCAGACTGCTGGCACCAGTCGGCACTCGCCCGCCAGGCAGCAGCACCGCCCAAGTCTGCTGGCTGGCTGAGGTCTGCACGGAGGGGCCGGGCCGCCGCTCACTACAGCCGGGCATCCACCCACAGCTAGAGGGACAGACAAGTCTCCGCGACCCTGAAACTTCGCCAGCCCAAATGGCAAACAGCAAAGAAGCAACTACCATTCACCTACGTGGGAGACTGTGAGCACCCCACCCCTGCGAGCCAGCAGCGCCCTCCCGGCCGCCACCGCGGGCGCCTCGGCAGGCTGCGGCCAGGCAAGGGCTCGAAGCCTGGCCGCGCTGCCTGTCGTCGGGAAAGCGACGGTCCTGCTCTTCTTTCGATAGCGAAAACGAGACCACGGATGTAGGTCTTCTGTAGCCGTGAAGTGCACTGTGTGCCTCTGGACAAGCAGGGCTTCCTGCTGGAGCGGCGGCTATCGGAGTACCAGGGAGCGCTCGGCATCCGCAGGGACCGACGCAGACTCCTCCTCCCTCGAGCCTGTGCGGCTGCAGGAAGGGCGCACTGTGGCCGGATGCATGGGGCTCCGCAGACGTGCGTTCAGTCTCCTAACTCTAAGCAGGGCAGGTTTCGCCAGCCTCAGTGGACCGGCCTCTTCTTGCTCCTGCCTCGCGGGCCCCAGTTCACATGCATGGAGCCTGACATCGCCAGTCACTCCACGCGTAGGAAACCACACGTGCTCCTCAGGGCTTCCTGCCCCTGCTGGCGTCGCCAAACTGGCTCCAGAAGGGCAACCCGGGCACACCCGTCAACCCACGTTACCTCCACAAACCGCGCCGCGCGTCGTGTCCCGACCTAAACTCGGTGCCGTAGGCAGATGCGCGCTTCCTGCCAGCCCCGCAGCGCTGTCCTCCCGCAGCCTGCACACTGCGGACTCGGGGACAGCCCCGACAACCACCCCTGGGTAGAGCCGTCCCCTCCCGGCTCCTCCAGTTCTCCAGCTGAAGCACGTCTGAAGCACGGTCGGTCACGTTGCCACACCTGGACGGCGCCTGGGTGCGCAGCAACAGTCCCAGAGACGCGCAGTTCCTCTTGGTGGAGGAGACACCTTCTAAGACTCCAGCTGTTCTTGAGTGTTTCCAACCCCACAGCATCACCAGCCTGTCCCCTGCCTTGTTTATACTTGAGCCAATGCGTGCCTAATTTCCCCGGGATCTCGGGGGCCTTCTTCAAGCAACACCAGTGATCTAATTCAACAGCTGTCTGGTGAAAGCTTCAGTAGGGAAGAGCAGCTGGGCTCCGCCCTTACCTAAGCTGTACAGAGTAACAGTTAAAGAAAACACTTCCTTTAGCACTGACACATCCTCTGTCTACAGATACATACCTTTACAATGTGTACCCCTCGGGACAGTTACATTGTTATTTGTCAACTGCATGTTCTCCGAGGGACTTTCTCTCCTTCCAGCTACAGCCGCCCTTTGCACACAGAATACACTGACAACTCATATGTGTGCACGGAGGCCCACAAGGAGATAGAGAAAACTCTTCCACTTCTCAGCCTCCAAAATGAAACACCCGACTCATCCCTCCTTTCAAGTGTTTTGAAATGGTGATATTCAAACAGTAAAACCTTAGACGCTCTGAAGTTCTGAGGCAGTCTACACGAAGCTGAAAGCACTCAGTCCACAGTGACTGGACGTCCAGAACCGCATTTATTTCCAAACTCCATCCCTCTCCCTCCCTCCTTCCAATATTTCACCATTAAGAAAAAACTGATAGACACATTCTGAGATCCAGTAGTTTTCCCTCTGCGCAGGGTGAGAAGCAAGAACCATTCACAACAAAGTCGCTGAAATCGGTAAGACAATGGAAGGATCACTTTTTCTTCCCAAAGTAAAAGAGGCGGGCGACACAGGCGGGCACAGCAAGGTAAACAAAGCAGCCACAGGCCTAGGGGAGTCAGCCCAGACAATGGGAGCAGCGGCACCCGCGGGTCTGGGGTTGGGTCAGCAAGGGGTGGAGTCTCGGAAAGCCAGACCCCGAGCAACGTGCGCCAGGGGCAGGCCGCCGTACCCGCGGAAGGCCGGCCGGCTGCCCCGAAGCTCCCGGCACAGACGTGTGTGTCGTGTGCGTGTGTCGCCAGGGGGGCGTGGGGAGCCGGGCGCGTGGACACACACAGCTGCGCGGCTTTGTGCTCCTTTTCACGCCACAGCGACTCTCCTTTCTTAGCTCCAGGCGCCGGGTGCGAGGAGGGGGACCCCGGGACGGGGCGGGGGCTCCCCAGGGGCCGGGCGCGCGGCCGCGGGCGCGGGCCCGGGGCCGACTTACCTTGAGGAGGCAGCTGTTGAGGGGGGCGGGCACCGAGGTGCGGTGGATGACCAGGTCCTGGCCGGGGTTGTGCACGTCGCAGATGAGCTCCAGCACCGCGACGCTGCGGGCCGTGGACACGGACACGCGGTGGTCCTCGGACCAGGCCAGCGGCTCCAGGCCGCTCACCGGGTGCTGCAGCTTCACGGCCGGCTCCCGCCGGGTCACCAGGAGGCGGAACGCGGCGCTGGGCCCGGGGGCCGCGTCCGCCTCCGGC